GTCTTGAACAGTTGCTTATAAAGTCTCATCTTATGTCCAGCTGAATCGTTGTGATGAAAACTTTTCAATGAATCCCATACTTCTTTTCCTCCTTTAGACTCCGAAACATGTACAAGTTGATCATTATCAACCATTAAAACAATATGTGCCAATGCTTTCAAGCTTTTAACTGCATCCTCTGGATTTGAACTTCCTGGAACGATGACATCCCATAGATCTTCCTTGATCAAAATCATCTTCATTCGAAGTGCCCACACAATAATTCCCGCAGTTCAATCGCTCGCACATGGCAGATTCTTCTTCTTAAAACTTCATTGCGATAATGCCCGTAGCCTCTTGGATAATTAAAATAATGGATTTTTTATTTTAATTCTTGCAGAATAGCAAAATAGAATTTTTAACTTTAAAATAAACTTCTTTTCACGATAACAATATTTACAATATTAATCAGATTCATACGATCTATATATATATATATATATATATATATATAACTTAATTATTCAACACTTAATGATGGATTAAGATCTGTTTAAAAATATAAATGCTCCAAACTCCAGTAATAAAGCTTAATTATCGAGATAAATTGATTCTCCAAACGTCAATTTTTTGTCACAAAGCAAAGCAAGAGCTTAAATTTTCCTAATCCGTTAAAAAATTACAAAATTTTTTGATCGAAAATACTCCAATTCTGAACTTTTAAGCTACACTTTTGACAAATTTCATCATTTATAATAAAAGAAAATTATTATTGATGAAAAATTTAAAATTTCAAATCATTCTACATTTAAAGAAATTGCGGAGTTTATATTTACGATGTAAGCATAATTGACAACGGATTATGGGCAATTCTTTGGATGACTTTTGGAAAAAAATTCAGCAAAAAATCGAAATTTTATTCATTTTTCCCATCAGAGACACTGATTTTATGATTCTTATCGATGTAAAAATCTAAAATGAACACTACTTTTGATATCATATACTTCTAATCGCTATATTAATTAAGTTATTTGGATTCTTCAGACAATAACTCGATGACAGAAATCGGAATTTTCAATTTTCACCCTCCGAAGAATCGAAAATTAGAGAAAACTATTGATATCCACATTGAATAACTTTAATTAAGTTATAGAAGAGGCAAAAATCTTTAATTAAGTTGCTTTTTCATATGCTTTAAGTCATTAATTATTGAAATATTTCAATTCTTTGAAAATTTTTCTTGTGTCAACGAGTTATAAAAAAGCTTTTTTTTGTCTTAATCCGTGAAAAAATACAAAATTTTCAAACATATTTTTTCAATTTTGCACTTAATTTGGGTGAGTTGTAACATTTCAATAGATCACTTGTAAAGATTTAATTATGCTTAATGATCTACGAAAATTCAGGCTTATTATTCCTTCGTGGTAATATGAAATTAAAGAAAACATTTTATTGACACAAAACTCATTGACATTGGATTATGAAAGCTCATTTTTTTCAAATTCCACTCATCCAAAGAATTGCCCTTATAAGAGCTCATTTTGAAAAATTCTACCGTTCTGGAGAATCGCTCAAATGTAGACTTCATGGCAAGCAATCTCGCTTTTTCTTATGACACTAGTTGAGATTCGATCAAAATGGTTGTTATGCCGTTCATTCTATCATCTTCTATGATTCTGCATACTTAAATTGTCTTGATAGACACCCACTTAACAGAAAAATGAATAATTTTATTTCAACTAATGGGCAATTCCATGAGTGAAAAAATGCAAGTAAAATTCTTTTTGATCAAAAGACTCTTAAAATAACACCTTTTTCCGTTCTTTTAAAAATTTATAATTAGTAATAACTCAAGATATTCATTTTAAAAAAGTTAATTAAACGTTTAAATGTCTATTTACTGAAATAATTCAGTTTTTTCGTCGTTAATCGGTTAAGTTTACAAAAATTTCGCTTCTTATATCCTTAAAAAAGTCTTCAAATATCCATTTTTTGTGCTCAAGTATATTTTTAAGCCATAGATATTCACTTTTTCTACTTATTTGTAAACTTTTTCTGTTCTTAAATGCTTTATTCACAGAGAAAATTACAAAATACTGCGTTAATCGGTTAAGTTTTCAGCGCTTTATCCAAAACCAACAAAAAACAGAAAATTTGAATTTTGAATTCCCGTTAAATTTATTTATTGCTAAGAATAATTTCTCTTCGAAAAATAACATTTTATTGGGTTAATAATGAATTTAATTTGTTTTTTTCATGTTAACATCATAATTTTGTGAAATAATCGTAATAATAATCAAGGCAATGAAAATTAGTTTGAATCTTTTGAAAATTTGTAACGGTAAAAAAAAATTCAAATTCCTACAAGTAGAAAAATATTACAACTTGCTTTTTCTCAGTTCCCTTTACTCGTGGAATTGCCCTAATGTAATATACCAACGATTAAGCTAAATCCGTGAGAAAATGATATTAAAAAATCAAGTTTTACTTTAATTACCAATAATTTCTTTGATTAGAATGTTGTTTATAAAAGTTTATAAAATTAAAGTTTGGTTGATAAAATTTTTTTTAAAAAAACAATATAGAATTTTTGTTAAGCTCTAAATCTCAACCATATGCTAAGCGAAGCTTAGCTGACTTTCCAAGTTATATGAAATAAAATTTTAATTTTAAAAAATAATTTTTTAAAACGTATTAGTAAAATAAAAGCTGAAATTTTTCGGAGACGTAAATTTACATCAGAAAAATTGATTTATCTTCTAAAACTTCCTTAAAATTCAATTTAAACAATGATTTGGAAGATAAAACGTTTAATTTGTTATAAATTAGTATGCGTATGATGATACATACAAAAAGTTTCTTTGACAATCAATTTTCAATTCTACGGATGCTGAAGAAAATTCGATTTTTTTCTAAAGAATTTCTTTGTAATTAAAGCATAAAAGATATTCTTAATAAGTTATTTGCAATGATTTTAATGAAATACAACAGCTGAAAAGGATATCTAAGGTACTTTAGAGAGAAAAAAAATCAGAGAAAAGTGAATTTTTTGTGTCAAGTTTTGAAAAAGTTCATTTGTAGAATTGCTTTAAAGGAAAAAATTGAAATAGTTTCAAAAATAATTTTCAAGGATTATAAGTCCAGAAAAATGTATCTGGACTTATAATCGCACTAGGAGTTTATAAGTAAAATTTATAAATTTTCTGGAATTATAAATCACACGTGAGGTTTATAAGTCCAGATATATAATGTACCTGGACTTAAAACCCTCTCGTGCAGTTTATAATTCCAGCTGTATTTGTACCTGGACTTATGAACTGCACGTGAGGGTTTTAAGTCCAGGTGCAATTTGTATCTGGACTTATAAACCTTTATTGACTTTAATTTTCTGAACTTGTACGGCCTGTTTCACTAAAGTGGATTTTCTTCGATTTCGGATTATCCTTTTCAGTTTTTTGCAAATATCTTAAACTATATGGGAGGTGTGGTATTTCTAATTTTGGATTATAATAGAGTGAACTATGCCTGAAATTTCTGTACACTTTAAACGTTTGCTTTTCATTAAGAAGTATTAATTATTCAATTTTCTAGCCAAATCTAGTAGATTAACTTCGATTTTTGCTATAATTCTCAAACTAATGAAGATATAAAAATTCTAAGTATATATTAATTTAAGTAGCAAAGTACTCTAACTAGATCACACATTAGATCTCTTAAAAGTCTTAATTGTCTGGAGATATTTCCAAAAAACTGAAGTGGATAATTCGAAATCGAGGATAATCCACTTTAGTGAAACAGGCCGATAATTTTCTGTGCACGATTTTTGTATCTGGACTTATAACCCAGCATCAACAACATGAAGTGTTTCTGCAAATTGTTGATGAGTAATTAAAAAGTAAATAAATTAAAAAAAAAAACATTTTTTAACATCCAATATGGGTATGTGTTTAATTAGCGAATATAAATCGTGAGAAAGAAGCTACAGATTAGCAAAAAAATATTTTTCACACACAAGATTCTTAGATAGGAAGGTAAAACTATTTATGCGGAAATAGAGAGGATTAAGATAGACAGTAAGGGGAAGGAGCAGTAATTGATAAAGAAATAAATATGAGTAAGATAAGACACAAAGGAAGAAGTAAACGTCTTTTTACCAACAACAAAAAATAAAGAAATCTAGCAATGTCTGTCTGTATGGCTTAATTTCAGAGATTGAGAATAATTTACTGATTACTTTTGGCAAAAAAAAAAAAACTTTCCAGTCATCGATGACTGATACAAAATCATATACAAATTGATTATTTACTGAAAACAGATTTCGTATATCGTGTTTCTGTGCATTTCTGATAAGTTTGAAATATAACAATGTCATATTCATTGAAACATTAATTAAAGAGAAAAGAGGTATGTATACAGAAAGTACAAAAATGCAACATTTAACACATCCATCTTAAGAGTAAAGAGTTCAGTTTGTCTTGCAAAAATGTTTTGTTTGAAAGAACGTTTTCCCAACATTACTCACTTTTTCGCATGTGATATCCTGTTTTTGGTTTATTATTATTTTTATGGATTTTAAATGAATGAAAATTTCATCATAAAGTTATTTTCGTTTTTAGTTGGAAAAGGAAAATTTAATTTAGATTTAAAGAAAAAAAAAAAAAAAAAATTTAAAAGAAAATTAATAATATTGCATTAGATTAGCTATGGGGTCGATTAAAAATGACATCCCACACTATGTACAAGTTGGATGTAATAAATAAACGCCCTTTTTATGTTAATAAAATTAATCAAAATAAATATTAAAAGGTTCTTATTAGTATATTAGAGGGAGGACAGTTGCAAAAAAAAAATTAAAAAACTTTATAAAAGATACATAGATAGATGTGTTCATGCTTTGCTGATCAAAAGCAAATTGCATAAACCAGAGATCGAAGCCGAAAAAATCAGCTTCGATCTCTGGCATAAACACTTCTATATGTCGTCAACTTTATCGGTAAATAATAATAAACAAGAGTCCTCACCTTTTGGTGTGATGCTTAAGTCGGAATCTGACGAGCGCCTATAAATTGCAGTTGATGCTGGCAAACTTCCACCAGATGCACATGTCTGTTGTTGCTTAGAAGGACTCGCAGAAAATTTGCATCCTATTGATTCTGTGCGTGTGTGTGCTTTTGCGTTAGGACTTGCAGATAGCAACTCATTTCTAGACAAAGATAAGAGGGATTCATGCAATGGTTTTTTGTTAGTATCAGCAGTGAATGTTGCACTTTTGCAAGAACAATTATCGCATGATTTTTTATTTGATATGAATGAGTCAAAGTTTTGCACACTGAGCTTCAAATCATCTTTTGAGATGGCTTTTTGTTCCGATAGAGGAACAATTGTTATTGTCGATTCATAAGACCCAACCGATAGTTTTTCTTCTGGATGGTTATCCTCAAATAATTGTTTGATAGGCTCTTTGTCAGGAAGACTACCCGAATTAACTTCACAAATTGATTTTAAGCTATTCGTTTCACTTTGCAGATCAACTGATCGACGTGGTCGCTGAAAAAGATTGAATTTTTGTTTGATGGATTGCAAACTTGAGGAACTGGATTTTCTCTTTTGAATGACGTTAGAATCAGCTGGTGTAGGTGTTTGAACAGAAGTTGAAGCTTCCGCAACATTAAATTGTTCCAATAAAATTGTTTGCATGGCTTGCGCAATAAGAGTATCTTCATGATGATGGGTATGTGGCATATGGATATGATGAATTTTTTCAGCAATTTGATGAATTTTTCCACTAAAATTTTCTTTAAAATCATGAAGTATTTCTTTTGATTTTGAATGGTCATGAGGAAGCTCTTTTTTATGAGAATGGAGATCATGATGTACTAAATGGTGAAATTTCTCTTGAATACTTCCTTTCAAATCATGAATAAAATCATGATGTTTCTTAATTTCATGATGATGGTCTTTTGTGGTTGCTTCTTGTGAAGTATTTGGCAATTCAAATTCAAAAAAGCTTCTATCCATCGCTTCTACATTTCTAACAATCATGCTGACAGTTTCTACATCCTCAATCGAACGTTCATCACACATTGATGGAGTATCAAATGGAGTAGAAATTGTCGATGCAGTATCAAGATTATCGATATAAATGGAAGGCACGCTCAAAAGTGATTTTGAATGCTCAGGATGAAGTGATGTCTTGTTAATTTCCTGTCTTTGCTTCTGCTCAAATACTAAATTTCGCTCATTAGCCAAATCTCTTGCTATTTTTAAATCTACTTTTAAACTTTCATTATTTTTAGAAGCAGTTTTCGACTTTCTAATAATACATGATACATAATGCAATATTTAATGATTGTTTGGCGAGTATGTCAGAGGATGTGCGAAAGTATTTTATAAATGCAAAAATAAAAATTCAAACAGAAACCATGCAAATTTATATGGAGATAAATTTATAAATTAAAATAAAAAATTCCAACGATAAATGTAGGATGTAGGAAGTAAAAAAAAAATTAAACAAAAAGAAAAATCATATAGGGAAGGACGTCAATAAAAGATTTTGAACCTATACTCACTCATCCTCTGGTATGTTGTTCTGTACATGCATGGAAGGGTTAATAGGTTCACTTTGAATTTTGACGAGTGTTACAGAAGTTCCAATTCCTCTGGCTATTATTGTGTCCTTCTCAAGATCAAATCTTTGTTGAAATCCCAACACTGCATTTCCACCAAGATTGATGGCTTTAAGGCCTATTTTTCTTTGAATCTAATTAATGGAGACAATAATATTTTAATGCTTATCGTCAATTTTATAATGTTAAAATTACCTGTCCAGCTAGTTTTAAGAAAGTCTGCTGTCTTGCTTCATTAGAGGCGGAAGCTCTTCGGATTTTATCGATCCAATCATGTTCTGGATCATCGTCAACAATCATTTCTTCTACAAAACCACGAATTACAGCATGATAACCGAAAGGAATTGAATTTGAATGAAAGAACTGAACGCCACATGAGCTTTGTCTAAATTTATTGGCATCAGAGAATAGCTCAACTTTAACGATGAAATTGATTTCCCCACGAATGCCTTGAATTGTATCATAAATTGGATACCAGCCATTCAGTCCTTTCGAATCATTATGCAGAAGAAGCGGATTCAAACTTAGACAAACTTTTCCGATAGCATCATTAGCAGAATAAGTGTCATAGTCCATAACGCGTATATGCAACAGTTCATCTTGAATTTCCTGATCATCAATTTCAAAACGGAACCACTGAGAATTAAATACAGGATTTAAACTCTTCCTTTTGACGTCTGTCTTGTACGTGATGTTTCCTAATTTCACTTCAACAAATGCATCTGTTGTTAAATTTGATTTGTCCATAACTGGGAGATTTCTAAAATTAATTTTTTTAAATCATAAAAATAAAGATTTATTTCACACATATTTCTTAATTAATCAAATTAATTCATAACTTTTAACTGATATTTGATCTTACCTGCATGATAAGATTTTAATTTTAACTTTTGCTGGCATTTTTGATTCTGTTTGTCACTTTTTAAGTACTTAAATTAAAGATTTTAAAAGAGAAAATAAAATTTTGTCAATCGAAACAAATCCAATAAGAAAACAAACTTCCACACCCCTTTTTGACATCAGGTCAATTCCACGAATGAATTTGTGTTTCTTGAAAAATGCGACTTTTAATCAAATTTTCTCTTTAATTAATGACTTTCTTACTCTAATCTTTTCTTTTACTTATGTAAATAACCGAGATCTTTTTTGTGTCTAAATAGTTTTCGTTGTCACGCTTTAATAAATCAGACATTTCAATTTTAATCAGTTTCTCGGAATCAAAATATCAAATTCGAATTTTAAATTTCATTATTTGCTCAAGTAATGTTTTACTGAAGTTTTTACAAGCATTTTATAATAAACTTTCATTTATATTGCTTAAGTCATTAAAAGAGGCCTTTATTGAAGCAAAAATTAAAGGTTTCTCAACTGATTCCGAGAATCATTTAAGCTCTTTGACCTAATCCATGAGAAAATACAAATTTTTGAAATCAATTTTAACTTGAATTAAAACATTATCGAATGACAATCTTAGTTTTTAAAACAACAAAACAAAATAAGCTTTTTGATTTAATTATTTTTGTACAAAATTTGACAGGGATTAATCGAGCTTGTACAAATACAGATTCATCCATGATTTCGCCCCATTACGAAAACCCATCATCAAAAGTAAAATATCAATAGAAATTTTAACAAAAAAGTCAACTGAAATTTCAGCAATAATCGTGACATATGATACTGAATATTCCAGTGCGAGTGGATTCGATTCCCATCAGAAGGCATGAATCTCTTAATCCTTAATATGCGCAATTCTCGTGACATACAGATTCCTTTGAATAAACAATAAATTCAAGCTTTGAGTGGTTACATTAAAAATGTAAGTTTTTATTAATTTTCTTTATATTTTCTTTTTCAGTTTAATAATCATGAACTTCAAGCCTCGGCCGCAGTTTTATGGCTTATTGTGCTGACGAATCAGATGAGTCAAAAATAAAATTTGCACATTAAGCACTTAAAAGTTGACAACAAAAAATTTCAACGGTTGATCAAAGGTTTCAACAAAAGAAATCCAGTACTTTAAGAGCGTTTGGACATTGTCACATGAGAGAAAATGTGGAAACCAACTTACAGTAAGTCATCGCAATTATATTTATTTCTAGGATTTTGTTGTTGTGAATCTTGTGGCAGTTTGAAATGAAATAATCAACAATTTTATTGATGATTCTCAAACATAAAAACAGCGAAAAAAGTTTACATCCAATTATTCGAACCGTCACAAGTTTTCCGTTACAAAAATATCAATTTATACGTCTTTGTTACGTCCTAGTTTTATTATATTTCATGCTTGACTTGAATTGTAAAGGAGAAAAAAAAGACTAATCAGGTTGAGAAAAAATCGGTTTGAAAGCATATTTCTTTATATTTCCCATTCAACAACTTTAGTTCCTTTGAATGAAAAAAATAAGATTTGTATTTACTGAGAAAAAACTTAAAAAACTCAAACACGTGGACCTTGTCAAGTAGGAGCTAATCAGAACAGTTTTATTAAAACTTGCACAGATCGAAGCGATTAATTAAGCTTGATTAATAATAATTTTTCAAATAATTTAATGGAATATTTTATTTTTTGCCAGTAAGCCCTACGACTCTATCATCAAGCTTTTTAAATTCCTTCTTAATATTCTCGTCATTTTCTACAAAAGCTTTTTGAACGCTTTGTAAAAGTTCCTTGTTGCTTGATATTCCCTTCAATATGATATTTTGAGTAGCTTCAAGCTCGGCAAATAACTTGCTGAAATTGGCAGCTAAATAAGGAATAAACAGGAATAAGTATTAAAAGATATTGATTGATTGAATATTTTACCATATGAATGTAGAGCTTCTAAAGTTTTCATTCGTTCAAGCATATCAGGAAGTATTTTCGCAATTGGTTCAGTAGATTTGGCAAACTCATACAATTCGGATATCTTTTGCTCTCGATCACGATCAGTGTTGGCAGCATTTGACTTTTCTTTAAATTGGTCCATTTTTGATGATAAACTTGTCAGACGTTGTTCGATAACATCCAATTGATTTGGTTGTAATAAAGCAGACTTCGTTGAAAGCTGTTGAACAGCTTCTAAGAGATTCTTAGTATCCAAAGAACTGTTAAGACGAGATAACTTTTCTGATTTCATTCCAACAGTTTGTTCAATTCTGTGCAATTTGTGCTCTATTTCAGCGATTCTCGTTGTAAGTGCAATATCATTATGATTTTTTATTTTAATCAATTCAGCTGCTGTTTCTGGAGCTCCTTTCTTGTAACTTTCCACATTAGATAATAAGTTTCTAACAGCCTTTTCCGTAGATTGACCATTCTGGTCACCAAGAGCTTCTTCCAAATGTAAACTGTCGAGAATTTTTTTGGAATTTTGAACAACTTTAGACATTCTAAAGTATGCTTCTTGTTCCTCCTTCGATACTGTTTTATCATTTTCAAGTGTTGTAATCTCTTCCATTAATTCATTCATTTCGCATTGCAATCTCTGGCACTTCTGAAATGGCGATTCTTTTTCGCCATCACCAACAATTTCATAAATGTTTGAACTAAAAATGTATATGTTATAATATACAGTTATTACTTTGAATGTTTTGTAGCTACTTACATAGCATTATATCCAATGTTTCGTTTCTTTGATATATCATCAGAAAAATCGACATTTCCAATTAAATACTTTTGTTTAAAATGGGAAAAAGCATCAGTTGGATTTAACTTTGATCGATCGATTGAGTCGTTTTCAAGCTCTTCTTCGTAATATTCAGGCTCATTCGATGCTATATCATCGGTTTCGTACACATCTTTCTCGTCTCTTGCCTGTTGTTTTAAAAAATTGAATTTATTCAATGATTCTTTCATGTTTTATAGTATATTCATGCTTACGAGAAATGGTAAGTTCTTGAATTTCGGATCCAACATTTCAAAATCTATTAATTAAGCGTATTAACAGCGGAAAATATAAATTTTCACAATTTTTTCACCAATATTTATTTTTGTTGACGATGAATCACAGTCAAGTACTTCCAAATCCAAATGAGATAAGTAAAATGAGAAAGATTTTTCCAGCAAAAAAAACCGCTGTAATCTTAGTATTTGTTAGTATCTTATACAAGTGTATGGGCAGTTGTAATTATCTCGCAAGATTAGAAACGAGTAAACTAGCTAGTTTCTTACTATTTTTGGACTTGCCACATTTTAATTTACAATGCCTTATACCAACAGTTTGTAGTCAATGATGCGTTGTTTAAAAAGGCATAGATCCAAAAAAGGAATGTTGGACATGTCTCAAAATAGCACTGGATCTTTTGCATCTATACTGTAAGTTCTCTCTAGTTGGGATTATTTTTAAAAAATGAATTAAAATTGTCAATATAAAAAGTACTGAGAGTTGTAAATACATAAAAAGTTTAAAGTTAATTAATTAATTGATGACTGTCTATCGATTAGAGCATGTCAAGCGAATAAAGTGGATGATGAGTAGTCGTTAGAGAATTCACGATTTACATGGATTTGTTTTGTGATCTTAAAAAAACGTAGTAAAAAAAGGAAAAAAAAGAAAATATCAAGAATTTTTGACGAATTAAATGAACTTTGAGCCACAAAGAGCAATTAATATCTTATTGGAAGATTTAGTGAAAGAGAAAAGGTGATTAATTGATTGCTACAAAGCTTTTTAAAGTGCTGATATAATAGAATTCGTAAAAATTATCTACGTAATAAAGTTTCATCGATCGATTTATTTACAATCTGAAAATAATAAATTAATGTGTATATCTATATGCTAAATGACATTTTACCTGCATGTTGAAATAATTGGAGTTAATTTGAAAATGCTAGTTCGCTCTAAAACAAAACTTTCGTAAGTACGTATGCAGAAGAAGAACTTGAAATTATTAACATAAATTTAAATGGCTTATATAGAATGAATTCAAGCCTGTATTAAAATAATTTTGCATTAATCAAATTTTTCCTTGTTCAGTATTTTGTAGATCAATAAATTTTAAAAAGAAAGACAACAGAGAATTATTCAAATTTGAAGAAGACAAATAAGGAACTGCATCAACTAATAAAATGGCTGAACCACAACAGCAAAATATAACAGACGGGATTAATCCTGAAAATAATCATGCAGCTGGCGATCCAATAGTAAATAATCGACCTAGAAATAACAATACCAATAATAATAATAATAATGCAAATCAGCAACAACAACCTGTAAGATATAAAACAAACAAAACCGTATTAACTTATTTTTTTTTTTCGTTTTAATGACCTACTTGCCTACTTCTAATATTTTTTATCATTATCATTTTTTTATTGGTTTAATTTTAGAATCAGCTTGTTAATTTAAGAGATCGATTGTTTCATGCATTGTTTTTTAAAACAGCATTATGGTATAGTCAAGCAGTGCCACCATCTATAAGAAGAATCATTGAGATGATGATGCTGTTGAAAGCGTTATCTGCATTTTTTATTCTTGTCTATATACATATAAGCTATTCACAGACACCAGCAACATGTCTATCGCATTTAAAGACAGAAGGTGGATGGCCCCGAGATGGCATATTAAGGGTAGAAATTTTAAGACCGGGAGAAAAATTGACACCTATAAAAGACGGTGCCGATGACCTATCTGAAGAATTAACAATGCCTCGAAGTAATCATAAAGAAGGTCTAATAAGCATAGATCCTTCAACAACACTCCCGCATGAAGAAAATAACGAGGCAAAAATTAATTCTAATCAAATTGAGTCTACATCAATGATAGAAAACGCTAATGCAAGCATACTGGATAGCTTAGAAATCACCGAAAGACTTTCAAATAATGAATCGCGTGATATAGAAATATCGATATCCGATATTGTAGTGTCAACAACTAAATCCGTTCTTAATTCAGAAACAATTGAAATGACTGATTCAGAATTGATTTTTGAAGAAAAGTACCTAAATGAGTCTATTGCAAAAATTAACGACCAACAATTTGAAGAAATCCTCAAAACAGATGTTCCTGAAGTGGAGAAACTTATGAACGCAGTTATGCCTGATGACCAATATGTCGTCGAATGTAAGTTTCTAATTCTGAATATTTTATACCTTATCCTTTATATTTTGTAAAAATCCTTTTTTTTAATTTTAGATTCATTAGAATATGGATTTTTAAGGCTTTCGGCAGCGACGAGACAAAGATTAGGCATTCCAATCAAAATAGTTCGTCTAGATCCGGAAACTGATAAATGTTTTGGAGACTCTTTTAGTCGATTTATTCTGCAAGAATTTCTTGGATATGATGACCTCTTGATGGCAAGTGTCAAAGTTCTAGCAGAAGAGCAGGACAACAAAGGATATTTGCGAAATGTCATTACTGGTAAAAAAACTAATTAAAAAATAAATCATTGAAGCATTATATCATTAATTCATTAATTATAAATTACAGGTGAACATTATCGGTTTGTGAGCATGTGGTGGATGCAACGTGGGAGTTATCTTGCATCCTTTTTCATTATGATTATTTTTGTAAGTCAAATAGTCTCTTTTGTGGCTTTGCAAATAAATTACTCTTCTCTTATAGACAATATCAATATCAATGCTCCTGAGATACTCACATCATCAGATTTTCGTCTTTATAGGTAAGTTTACCTATATTGATTACTGTTCAATGGAATCAGATCATAACGCATCATCTCGTCATGTCAGATGAAAAAAAAAGAAGAATGAAAAAAAAATTATAAATTTTTATCGCATTTCATCCACTCATAGCAATTCATACAATTTTTTCACGATGCACTTTATAAGTGGATATATCTGTATCCTTTTACGACCACTTTTCAACGTATGTAATGCTCAATGAAATGGTAAACACACACTTCTGACAATGATTGATGCTTAATTGGAATGCTTTTTTTTGTTCTTTTCCACACCATTCAATGATTTCAACTTTTTTTTCTCATCATACAAATTTAAACTTTTAGAATAATGTATATATGAATTTCTCGTCAAATGTTGTATCTGTAATGCGCTTATCAACGTCACTAAGCATAACTAATTTTTACTTTCGTTTTGTCATCTTTCCATAGTTGATCTACTACAAATGTTGGAGTTTAATGTGGCTGTGAGATTTCCGATTGCGCCTTTATTGACTGTTATTCTTGCACTTGTCGGTAAGTTACATGAACAATTGATTGCATTTTTTTTATAATGTGTGGACTTCATGCTTATGTTTACTTTTCAATATATGACATTATACATTCAATATGAGTGGATATGTATTGAAAATAAAAGAGAAATAGTAGCGTGCATAAACACTGTTGACCACGAGAAAGAAGGGAATTATTTCCTTTTTAACACATATAGCTAATATTTTTCATAGTCATACTGTACATAATTTGTAGCATTTTATTAGTATGACAAAATCTATAATTTCGGATCCCACAAGAGAATAATATTAAAGTGACACGCGAGGTTCGGACAAATGATATGGTTTCAGGATCGTTAAAGCGTGAATGATGATATCAATTCATATGGATCTAGTTGTTGCTTCGTATAAAATAAAAAATAAAACAAGAAGGCAACATAATATGCATGTAATTTCTGTAAAATGTGTCGTGTATGAGATGTGAATATTTTTGGTTGCAGTTGCTTCATTTTTTACTCCCTTTATTAAGTATTCAATTACCAAACATACATACGCATATAATGTACAATTCACCATATGAAGGAACGAAGAACTGTTTTGCGATGCTTCTCCTTCGCGACTGAGTGGGACATAAAAAAGGAATCATTTTACATTTGCCTCATATTTTATATGCTCTACACTGGTGTTAAATCTACAGACATATCTATGTGCATGGTAAACTGAGCATACTCATAAATTATGCTCAAAGTGTAAATTAAATTTGATATTGCAGATAGTTAACTGTGTGATTTGTCATATTCATATTATATTGCAAATTAATATTATTATTATCCTTCATATTCGATGATGTTGTTGATTATTATGATGACGACAATGACTAACTCATTCATGTGGTCAGGGATGGATGTTGTTGTGTGAATTGGTTTTGTGGTATACCAAGATATCCAATAGACAAAATTTTCGAAAGCCTTTTATTAATTTATATTTAATTAATGAATTAAAGCATTTTTCGAATCAAATATTTTGCTCTCTTAATGTTGAGGTGAAGAGATTCACTCTTAAATTTAAGTACCACATTAGAATGTCTTTGAAGATATGAACAAATATGAATTAGAAATCAATCCTTCTTATTGGGGAACTAAAAAACAAGGCTTTTTTGGATTGTCACAAATCATGTATGTTCGTGTTGAGCACAGTTTGACTAACCTTTAATATTATATATCGTACATTTCATAGACACAATTAGAGTTTTAGTTATCATAAATTTAATACTATTGGTTGATATCCAAAGCACTTTAATAGACCATAAATGAGCATCAATTTTGTTACAGTCTAAAAAGTAACACTATCACTTTAATAAGCTTACGTGAGCGAACTCATCTAAATACATAGAAATTAGAACCCAAATGAACATCATCATGTAATGTTTATATAGCATATATGTTGTTTGCGTGTCATTCGCAAACTGATCAAATTCGCGCGAGGATAATAACAACAAAAACAACAGCAATAAGTATGTAAGTAAAGAGAAATAAAATAAAATAACAACAACAAACAAACAACATAATGCGTAGGTGAGAAAGAACACTTAAAGTGTTATCTAGGGCAAATAACATAACAAAATAATACATGTATTCGCGTGTGGTTAATGTAAAGTGATTCTTAGAGCAACCAAAAGCAATGAAGTATAAAAAATTATCTGAAAAATATTGTGTAACACTGAAGCGCAGTTTTTTTGATTTCATAAAGCAAATAAACGTCTCAATACAAAACAAAATCTTATTTAAATTTCCGTAATCTAATTCAAAGTACCAAAAAAGATAAAATTCGTATGAAAAGTGAAGAAGGATGAGGTGTTCTACACATCTTTAAAAATATACTAATCATTTTTCACCGTGAAAATATCATTATAATACATGAGAGCGTGTCAAAGTGCCATAAACGAGAAATGGAATGAGAAAAGAGAATGAAAATGTTCTTTTTTCGAATGAAAGAAATAAAGGAAGAAAGATAGGAGGAAGCATAGTTGTGAACATTGTTAATTTGTCTTGATTAATCATTTTCTCAAGAAAAAAAAAAATAAGACGAGGAAAACTTTTTGTTGTAATTTATGGGAAAAGCTAAAAAGTCAATTAGGCATGAAAGTTACACGCTATTGCTTATTGTCAATATTTTTTTTTTCTCCTTTTCTCATAGAATATTAATTAACTTCTATTCTTTTTGCATTGTTTATTAGGAATGGAAGCTATTATGTCAGAATTCTTCAATGATACAACAACAGCATTTTATATAATCCTAACAGTATGGTTTGCGGATCAGTACGATGCAATATGCTGCCACACAACACTTACAAAACGTCATTGGCTTAGGTGAGTCTTCTAAAAATGTTACAAATTTCTTCTCAAACGTTTGTCATATTCAGTCTTGATTATCCTCATTATATAATGCTCATATTGTCATTCATATGTCTAATTCACATTATTATCTTTGTATATAAGTATGTACGTATCATACACAATTTATTCATACTGAAGAATTTTTTTTCTGAGATGAGATAGAAGAGAAGAATAGAGCAAGGAAAAAAATCTGCAGTTCAGTTATGTAAACATTTATCCGAAATAATCACAGCATGATGAAAATGGGTTACGTAATAATTGGCCCTAGTTGATGTCAAAATCATCATCATAATCATTGTCATTGTTGTTGTTGTTGTTGAATATTCTGTTATGCTTTGTGGATGATCCATGAAATACAGAAACACGAGGCCTATGATGATGATGAAAAGAGAAGAGCTGAGGACAAATAAGAAGGGTGGAGATGAAGGAAAGTGAAATTAATTCCTCTTTTTTCCTTGCTCAAACGACAGCAGGCAGGCATTGAAAATGAAGAAAAGCTATGGGGAAAAAGGTTTCTCATTTTTTTACATATTCATTTTTATTCTATTCTGTGTATTCAGTATATTATGTGAATTGAAAAGTTCACTTACTTTTTTTTGTGTGTTAAATAACTTCATTTTTTATCACAGCAAGCACATCCGCATGATATGCTCAGTTGGCAGTTTTTCTCCTCATCTCTTCTAAATAAAGTCATCAAATTTTTTGTTTCCTCTCTGTTTATGAGTAGAAGTGACAGAAGTGTGTCTTTTCCTTTTCTCTGTTTACTGTTTACAGTAATCTTTTGGGACCTAAATATGGATACGAAATATTTTTCAATTATCTTACTACAAATTTTTGTATCTACTTTTATAAGAAATAATTGCCAGTTAATTTTGAATATGTTTAAAGTTGATGAATTTTTCATAATTCTTACAATTTCTTTAAGTTCCTTTATCGCAAATAAATTCACCATAAAAATTGTTTACCAATAACTGAATACCTTCAATTTGATTTGTATTAGTTTATATAACAACACCGTGCGTCATTTTAACCAGAAATTTTATGTGAAAAAAGGTTCATTCTGTCACTTTCATTTCTTTGGTTTCAATGATGAATTGAAATGACAGAATAAACGTGCTATTGCATAAACACGACACAGAGTAGGAGATTTTGCATAGAGGGAAGACAAAATGCTAAAGAGAAACGGAATTGAAAACTTATAAATTAAATTTTATTCTGTTTTTTAATACAATATAAAAAAATTAGTAGAATGAGATCGCTCAACAGCAACAATAAAGGACCATATTTTTACAGTTCGACAAAAAACAAATTTTTGTAAATCTACCTTTTGAGAGATTAAAAAAAAGGGACAAGAGTCTGCAAAGGCGAGCAATTGAAATTTAAGGGCGGGTATATATGTTTTTCAACCCAAAATAACTCAAACCATTCCAATCTTCTAGCTACTTCTGATTGTTGGTTGACTGGCTAGATGGCTGTATCAAATGAACTGCGAAAAAAATAATTTGATGAAAATTGTACAATTTATTTTCCCTCTTCCCTCGCTCACTCATTTTGTTTATTTTTTATATTTGATTGGAGTCGTTGTGACGATTAATTAGTGCGCTCAATGATTGATTCTTAATTTCATTCGCTTCAGGCTTCTTAATTTCATTTAATTGTTTCCAATTTTATTATCATTATTTTTGTTGTTGTTTCTCCTGCTATGATCTGCTTATATCTGGGGATGGTGGGTCTTTCATTAACTTTACTTTTTGGAAACAAACAACTTTATCATATACTTTTTGGCTCTGTCCGAAACAGTGTTGCATTCTGGCGATTTGTCTGGATCAGATAAATTCTGAGACAGAAATTTCTTCATAAAGATCGATTCTATATGAAGATAGAAAATCTAATCTACACAAAGATTCGATGTAGATGTCTACAATTCTACATTCTTCTCTGATGTAGACCTGGAAAAATGTAGAATTGTAGACATCTACATCGAATCTTTATGTAGACAGAATCTTTATGTAGAAATAATCTTTGTGTAGATTAGAATTTCTATCTTCATATAGAATCGATCTTTATGAAGAAAGTTTCTTAGCTAGACAAAAACTATTGAAGAATCTACATTCTTCATCTAGTGTAGACATCTACATTTGCAACACTGGTCGGAAATAAATTGTCGGTCCTATTTCTGAATATATCTGACTTTAGAATCTTAAAAATTTATGGTTATTTGGGGTAAATTGTAAATAGTGTCTTGAAAAGGAAGTTGTAGATCCCAGAAGTCTATCCTTTTTGAAAATTTGGACTTCATATGAAAACATATCCTTTTTCAGTTTAGTATACGTAGCATTAAAATTTCTCTCTTATCAAAAGCAACCACAAATTAACTTCAATTAAAATATGGAAATTAAGAGTGCTAAACTTAGTTGTTCTATTTGTTTTTCATCTAGAAAGCAAGTATATTCAAAATAAGAATTGTTTACACAGCAATTTTTACTGTCAATTATAATTTTCAGTTTCTCTTTCTCTCTCTATATAATGCTGACAAAGTTTTACTTTATGCATTAAAGAATGAAATTAAACTTACCTTACTCTTTATTGTCGTTATTCCCAAATTATCCTTAATGTCTTTTAGTATTTCATAAACAATTTTTGAGTGACTTCAAAAAAGGAAGGAAATAATTGAAATATTAATCTAAACGAATATGAAAAATTAGGAGTGGAATGTTTATTTAAGAGCGCTCGCATTAACCATATTAGAGCAAGAAATAAGAAATAAATGATAAAAAAATTAGGCGAAACGGACAATAGCTAGAGTTTATTCGAAGTACAAAAATATTTTCTGTATTTAGAAATGTTTTTGAAATGACAGGCACTTGAATTTACTTCATATAATAAACAACTTAATGATGGGATTGCCTTTAGCATACCGTAGATTTTGATTGAATTTAAATTTAATTTCATAAACTCCCCAGTTTTCAGTCCTTAAAAGCTTCCAATTAAAAGACATTATTTTGCTCTCGATTATCCTAGTTTAAAAAAAAAATGAATCAAAAGAACCGAGACTTAAGACAAATAATACGACAATAATAATAAAAGTGATTATATTTTATGGACAATAATAATAATGAGTTGAAAGGTAGAAGGTGAGATAACAGAGCAAATACGAATCATGAATAAAATATAATTATTAAAGTCCACCTTAAGTTAAAGAAAAAGGAGAGGTAGGAACTTCTATAAAAATCATAATTAAAGCTAATTAAAAATATATTTTGTAAGAATTTGTATCTGAATGCTTGAACTGGAGAATTTTTGTCATCATCCTCATTCAATAGCTTATTTTTATACTCTGTAGCTTATTGCTTGTGGCAAAGAAATTTTCGTTTTGCTATTTTTGATGGCATAACGATTCTTGTCTGATTTTGGCGCATCAAATGCTATAGGATGAAACTCATTATACTAAATTTAAAGCTGCAACAGATAACGTCATATTCAAATTTATATGGAAAGTCTGACTAATCAAATAAGCACTAAATTTAAAAAAAGATCATCGGTAAATATTAGTAACGCTGCAATAACAACGTCCATCTTTAAAATGAAACAGAAGATATATATATAATAGTATATAATAATTGGTAGGGTTGGTGTTCTGCTGATTCTTTGTTATTCATTTTATTTTATATAATGAAAAAATCGTCATCTCTGTTAACTTCGTTTCTGAATTTAGTTTGATTTTTTTTTTTTTCATAGAGTCGATGGGGTGTCAATTTCCAATTTCTTCTAATTGTGTTTATCTCTTGTTGCTGCATCGATATGATTTTTTTTTTTTTTTTGATAAAAATTCATTTTCATTTATCAGATCTCATATTCTTGTATTTTACCTGATTTTGTGCTATAAATAATAATCATAGGATGAAACTAGAAGTTAGGGAGGCTACATATTTTGAAAATCACAAGAAAAGAATTTTAAGAATTTAAGTAATTTTTGGACGTTTAAAAAAGAAATTAAGCCAAATTCTAACTGTATTAATTAAATGTCGGGTTTTTGGTTAATTTACTTTGATTTATCATTCTTGAAGGGGAAAACATATAAAGCAGACTTAATTAGTGAAGACCTATAATAAAAAATAAAAGTTTTCTCTTTAAAACCAAAAAAGTTAAAATTCTTTTAAATAAGGAATAATAGTAGAATGTTTGAATCCGAGAATTTCAAGACTCAAAATAATAAGTATAAGAATGAATGTAAAGAAATTTTTTTTAACTTTTATTTCTTAAAACATTTCTCTTCTTTTTCTCCCCAAGTAAGTAAAATAATCTGATTAGAAAATTTTCTTTTTGTGTCGGAGAAATTTCCTATTTTTTCCATGTCTTTCAAAACAATTTTAACCGCACGAATCAAAAAATAACAAAAAAATTTCTAATATTTTTGCTTTCATCTAAATATTTCTATGGGAACAGCCATTAGTGCTTGTTGTACAAATATGTTTAACTGAGAATTTTTTTGGTCTTCATCGATGAAGACTTTTAATTCTGTGTGTCCAAGCCAGTATATTAAATCAAGCATTATTGTATTTATCAAATAAAATTGATGGATTTGTGCTTGCATACATTAGAATTTTGACGTTTTGACTTGGAACATAAAATGAGAAAAAAAATTCCTTTATTTTATCTGTTTATAATGAATGAAATTAGAGAAAATTATGAAATGAATCCTGTGTATTGTACTAATTAGGCTGCTTGTTGCGATGAACACAATCATCATTCGTTAAAAATGTTTTCGTCATTATTACTAATGAAATATCATCATTTATACTTTCATGATTTTTCTATAGAAAAAGAATATAAACAGCAAAAAAATATGAAACATTTGCTTTAGTGGAGCGTGAGAAATCCTTATTTATTTTTTTCTATCGCCTTATCACCTGGATATATGTACGTCAGATTACATCCACAGTTCAGATAAACAGAAGAATTGTGTGTATGAAATAATGAAAATAGAAAGAAAGTCATCGATGGATAAAAACAAAATCATAAAAATTGTGTATTGAAGGGGAAAAATAATTGGCTGGCTATAACATTTTAATCTTTTTCCAATCAAATGAAAATCATTGTGAAATGGAGATAAATAGCAGCATTAGAAGGAAACAAATAGAAACAATAATAAAAATAATGATGATAGAGTCAATAATCATATTATCGATGGTATTTTTGTGATAATCTTTCACATCATCTCCTTTCAACTGTGGATGTTTATTCTCAAACTTATGCTTGAAATCATCCCTTTTTCCTTACATTTTCGTCTAAGATTTATCGTGTAGGTTGTTACACCTCTTCTATAAAAGTCAAATTTAAGAATTTAAAACTTTTGTTTCCATCCAAATTCTGTTCATACAAAATGCATATAACTTTAACTCTTAAATATGTGATACCATTCTAACTCAATCTGAAATTGAGCCAACTTTTCAATAGAAATAAAAGTTAATTCTACGATAAAAATGTGTAATTTAAATAATCAAAATAAAAAAATTGGTAAATTTGAACCAAAAATTATTAAAATAACAGCACAATAATTAATTAGTTTATGCATTTTTTTCGCTTCACTCAATATTAAATTATTTATTAATTTTCATCAATTCAATTATATTTCCCATTTTCACCAATTAAGTGATGACCAACTTACGTAATATTATTTTTTTTTTCATACTATTGCATCCTTTCTCTTTCTCCTGCTGTCATGTTGAAATAGTGTTAATTTAATGTAATTGAATCTATGTAATGAAATCAATACGTTACAAGCATGGAAATACTTGTTGTATATTTATAACCACATAACACACATATTGCATGTCTTATGTCTTATGGGAGAAAGATGAGACAAATAAGTTTATTACTTGAGTGTATTCTAATACGAAAAACTTTTTATAGGTTTTTTTTAAACTAGCTAATATGCTTTCTCGAAATCCCGGTCCCGACAAATTTTCGGGATCGGGATCGGGATTGAAATTTTCGGGATTTCCCGGGAAATCCCGGGAATCCCGAATATGTAAAAAAAATTAAAAAACAGCATTTTTCTGCTTTTTTTCCCAAAAAAAATTATATATTTTTTTGCTACTTATACGGTCATTTATTCCTTAATTAATTAGTTATATTTTATGTGTTACAAGGTAGATGTTTTAATCCATGTTTCCTTTGAAAAATGTGAACATAAACAAAAATAGAAAATAAATGTTGATAAAGATGTAAGTTAAAAGGTTATAGAAAACGGTGTGAATATAATAATAAAAATTAAGCATTAATGAAAAAACTTTTAACAAATGCAATTGCATTTAGATTCTTCTCAAGTAAACGTTTTCTTTGTTTTGTAAGAATGTTGTTACTAATAGAGAAATTTCGTTCGCTTTGAGTTGAGGTCGGCTGCATTGTTATCAATTCATCGTAAAGTTGATCTAATAAAACGGTTCTCTTCTTATTTTTGTCATACCAATTAAACTCTCTTTTCAAGTTATTTGGTTCTGTTGCTGCTGCATCTGTTGTTAATGATGTATATTCAGATATGCTTAGTTTCAGTCTATCTCGAATAGAAATGTTTGACGGTTGGATTTGATTTGCACTGGATGTTGAAGCTTTCATAGCTCCATTTGTAGAGTTTTTGACAAAATACTTCTTCAATAAGTCAATGCCAAGTTTATGTATTGCAGCTTTTGTTGACGATTTAAAATGCTTGTTTAAAGAAATATATTGAGGATTATTCAGGTAAAGTATTAAGTCAATTAATGTTCCATTTCTTCGTGCACCTATGCGAGCGCAATTCATATCGTAAATCTTTTGAGACAGTAATGTTCCTTGTAGCAACAATTCGTCAAGCAAAAAGTTAATTGTTCCTTCAGTAATTAATAAATCGTTTGATTTACGCAATAATTCTTCTGTCGCGTATTTAGCAGGTTCTAAAACATCAATAATTTCCTAAACTAAAAAACCGGGATTTTCAATCCCGATCCCGATAAATTTCGGGATCCCGGGATTGATCGGGATCGGTAAATCCCGGGAAATCCCGATCCCGATCCCGATAGCGAGAAAGCATACTAGCTAATTATGCTGCAAAATCAATTGTGGATCATCTTTGGATAATTGAATACAATATTGCATTCCCATATAAATTGTCCTGGAAAAGGCCATAATTTTTTAATAGATTTGAAATTTAGGAGAAGTTAATTTTATTGATGTTGCTCTGGTATTGCGTGTGTGGAACTTTAGTTTTGTTTCATTGCGTGCTTCATGATAATCTTGTTGTCACTTACTTAATATTATTGAAGCGATGAAGCATAAAATGTTCATGTTGCGACAATATAACGTGTGCGTTCATTTATTTTTAAGATGGGTATGAGGAAATAGCGATTATGACGACATTGTTCTACATTATGCTATGGTCACTCACTAACAAAGCCAATGATTGAAAACAAAAGAGGGATTATAGTGATAACGAATTTTAATTAATTTTGAAAAGAGGATTAATTGAGAATCGATTATGTCAATCTTGCTATTGTGATTCAACTATAAAACTACCCCTAAATATGTGGCCACTCATTCCTTCTATTATTATCCCATCAGAAGTTCCTTTTTTTAATAGTTGCCAACTTTATTGTTTACTTTATTGATAATAATGACTTTATTATTAATTTCATAATATTGTTTATGAATTCATTTTGTTCATTCATCATTCTTCTCCCTATTCTCACTTCCATACATATAGACATATTAAGAGATGATGGTAACGATGATTGATCTGTTATTTAGTGTTTACATTAGGTTCATTATTACCTAGTTATGTAATTGATTTCGACTGTTTGATTGAGAATTGAAATGAGAAAATAACTTAAATTTTATAAAATTATTAATTCAAATCAATATTTTAAATATTTTCTTCTATTGCAGATTCTTCTACTTATATCATTTCTCGTTTTACGCATATCACTACCGTTTTAATGGACAATATGGATCTTTGGCTTTGTTCACTTCCTGGCTATTCATACAGGTAATTTGAAACTAATTCAATTAATTACTTTTAACTTCGCCAAAAGTGGCTACATTTAAAAACAGAATTTTTGCTGGATTCTATCGCACTCCTTAAGTTTTGGAGATGAAATTTAGTTAACAACTTATAATGTGTATCTCATTCTTGCGTTTAACATTCATTATTATACCAACAGCTTTTATTAATGAACTGCATTGAATTGCAATGGAAAAGTTTTGAGAAATAATGAAAATCAAATTAATTGCTAAATATACAAAAGTAATATATTGGAATATGTCGAAAACAGCCGCGATTATCATAACCTTTTCAGTTTGATGAAAAAAAAAATGAACTGAAAACGTGAATCACGAGGATGAAAAAAAAGAATATACCTGAACCTTTTTTGTTTTTCATATTTTATTCTTCTTGCATACATATTCATTGTTTCATCCGCGTGACTATTATGAGATGAACAAAAAACACGTGATTTTATTTCATGATATATACACATTTTTGTTTTATTATTGAAAAGTTCATTTTTATGACAAGTTTTGAAACTGAAGCATTAAAAAAAATAATAATGGAGGAAAAAAGTTTATGCTTTTCAATTACTTGTTCAAAAAGTTGGAATTATACAATCATGTGAAATAATTGTATGAAAAAAGTTGTGATTGTAGGTTCTTTTTCTGCAAAAGGACTTTATCTAAATAAACTTGCACTATGTGCATTCCTTAATGTTAAAGACCAATTTGCAACCAATTCTTTAAGAATAACACAAAAAATTCATAAATTTTGATTTCTTTTAATTGAAAATTATATTAAAAGGCATTTGTTTTGAATTTCAGCATTGCCTATCCATTCCAAACTTATAAATTAACTTTTCATCTTAAGAAAATTTGTCAAAAGCAATAATTTTGCAATTGAATGATTTCTAGAAGAAATTAAAATCATATATAAGATTTTGTTTGAATAAATACATGAAAACTGGAAGAATAAGGCATTAGATTGTTTGGCATAAATAAGAAATATCAAAATGAAATTTTCACAAAATCTTAATATTGATACACATGATGCATTTATTCATGAAGAAGGTAAAGAAATGTGTCTTATGCATGCGATTATTATGTAAATATTGTTTCTTGTATAGATTCTTTCAAGTGTGCTGCAATGTGCTGAAGCATTACATCCTATTGCAGATAGAACGAAAAAGACATGAAAGAATTTTCACCTTATGTCAGTTATAAGGAAACATTTATATTTTTGCATCGTTTTTAAATATAGACTAGGAGTGGGGTTTGATTAGGATGTCCTGCGGACAGCAAAAATATGTCCTTACATACAATTTTGAGATAAATATTTGCAAAAATTGTATTATATGTGTATTTAAATAGAAATATAATTGATAAAAGATTGCAAAACTTTGATGCAAAATAAGATATGGCTACGATCATCTTATACATTATTCTGACTGTGTGATATGAAATAATTTTTTATTCATGCAACTTAGCAGAGCTGTTTGTCTAAAACCAAATAGTCGAAATTCATGACAATTTTCCTAATCAGAACAGAATGCAATTAAGATTTTTATATAATAAAAAATCGTGTTTTTAATACTCTAATAGACAAAGTGCTGTTGCACTATGGGGCAAAATGAAAAAAAAAGGGACTTTCACTTTGAAAAATGGACTTTTCCGATTTACACTTTTTGGGTGATTTTTTCTTGTAGAGGACATAAAAGTAGATAGAAATGCCAAATTTCAGGTCATTTGGTGCTGATTTCGCGATTCTAGAGCTGTTTGAAGTTGAAAACTAGTGAAAATTCTGGTTTTTTCATACCATGTTTGAACCGGGAAATATCTTAACTGGTTTAAGATATTGCAAAACGGTTTTCAGTTCCTATTAGTAGTATATAAGAGCTTTATTTTGACATATAACAAAGTTTAGGTTCTGAATGTTTTCGTGCCATTATGGTAGAACATATGTGAAAATTTCAGGAAAATTATCTTCAAACAAGCCGCAACTATCATAAATGAAGAGTTTCCAGGCAAGTAAAAACGCAGTTTTGTAGCCCCATATATCTAGTTTTCAAAACTGTATAAACTTTGAAAAAGTAAGCTAACGTAATTGAGTTATGTTGATTTTAGTAGGTCGTTGAGTATTTGGCCAAAAACTAATAATTCTTTTAAAAATACGAAAACATAGTTTTAAAAATAGTTTTTTTGTGTTTTCTTATGAAAAATAACAATTTAAATGATTTTGTGAAGAAAATTTTTCAAAAACTTCAAAATCTTTCGAGATATAGGGGGTATGTGCTCTCCATCGATTTGGCCATTTGTCACCCTACTTAAACCACTATAACTTTTTTTTGAAAAAATATTTTTTAATTCTGTTTTCGGATTATTGTAGCCTAATGTAATACCTATCCAACGATATATAATACTTGCTAGTTAACTTAGTCCTGGTTATTTATAGGGCTGTTGATTGTGACATACGCAGTTTTTGAAAAATTCCCAAAAATTGCATTTTCAAAAATACCACTTTTAAGCAATCTCGAGTATTTTTTGGACTTTTTTAAGAAATGTTAAGTCTGAAAAAAGCTATTATCATTAGAGTAATAAAAAAAATACTCTGATACGCAACTATAATAGGTAAAATTAATAAAGTTTAATTTTTAGTTTAATGAAATTTTGTTTATTTGTCAAGAAATTTAATTTACATTTTTTTATCATATTTAATGAAATTTATTTATTCATTCGTTGTTTGCTTCTTCAGAATATTCATGGTCTTGTCCTTCGGAATAATCATAGTTTTCTGCTTGGGAAAAGTCATAACCTTCTCCTTCTGGCTCAATCAATTCAATTTCTTCCTCATTTTCTGTTTGTTGCTCAGGTGTTTCACCTTCTTCTTGGACATTTTTTCTCATTAACCTTTTATTTATTACATCCATATATTTTTTTATTATTACTGGATCAGAACTGTAGAGTCTTCTATGTATAACATCCGTAAAACTGTGTATTCTTGAAGTTTTTCTGGCACGTAGTTCTCTATCTTGTCTGAGATATTTGTTTTGTGACTCCCCGGCTTCTTCACTCATTCTTCCTAGAGGTAATGGTAAGGCTTCCATGTAGTGTTTTGCATGAGCAAGTGCTCTGTGAAGTGTTACTGGTATTTTGAACCAACTATATGTTGTCAAAAACATTCTGTATGTTTCTTTACAGTACCTATCAAATTCATCTAGATCATCAACTGGTTCTAAACTTCGAATTTGGTTTAGCACATAGCATATACGTTTAATTATTTCTTCATTAAGATATAGAGTTTTAGCTAGAAGCTCTGGATTTTCAAGAACTTTTCTTGCAACGTTTCCTGTATCTGATGATCCAGCTCCCCCTTGTCTTGGTTCGAGTACACGAACATTAAATGCATCCCACATTGCTTGCTTTATTCTAGCCTTTTCAACATCTAAAACAATCTGTTCCTCTTCAGTTATCTCCAGCCAGTGTTTTTGAACATATTGTTTATATGACAAATCATATAGAGTCGTGAGTACGTTCATTGATGTATGAAGTGGCTGAGTGTTGAAATACAAGTGTTCTTTAACAAATTTTCTGTGTGTTTTTTCGAATCTTCCATTATCAAGATTATTTATGTCACTCATCTCGTTTGGTCCAGATCTACAAAGCTGACATCTGCAATATCCTGATGTTTCTGTAAGGTCTGTGTAAACTTTTCCATCTAACATTGTGGGGTAGAATTTGTACGTAATTTCCAAAAGCATGTCTTCACATATGAATCTCTGTGGTTCAAGTTTTGATATTTGATTTTTTATATCTTCATATATCCTTCTAACATTTACTCTGGTTTCTTTGGCATGTTCAAGTTGTATTGGTCGTACTGAGTATACAGATTGACTGTTTTCGTTGTCCCATAAGCAGATATAATTTCCGTTTTCGTCTTCATGTCGTAGTTGCTGAACACTCATACTAACTGTCAATAGTGATTTGTCTTCTATAATTTCATTATTAGTCGTTTGATTCGGTTGTGTTCTATCTCGTTCTTGATTTCTTGAATTTGTTTTTCCTTGGTTATACTGTGACTGTCCTGTTGTTCCGTCCATCCCCCATGTGACGATCATTTCTGCATGAATAACTTTTGGAGTTGATTCTGAAGGTAATATTTTGATTTTGTCGTATATTTCTGAATTGTGTGCTTCAATAACTCTTTTTGTGGTGAGTTGTGTCAAATTTTTTAGTGGAATAACGGCTCTTGTATCGGTGACCGTTATGTCATCAGGATAGCATTGTTTCTCTAACCTCAACAATTTTTTAGCTGTCGGTAAAACGTTTTCGCATTCCAGTTTCAGGACTTGTCGAATATTGTTGTACTGATTTCGAGATAAATTGTTAAAGGCTTTTACACCTAGAGCTACATGTATATCTAGTTGTTTAGGTTTTGATGTAGTTTTTTCTGGAAGATCCTCTCCTTTTAAGCACGCCTTAATAAATTCTTTTAACATTTTAGCTCCTTCTACTTTTCCTTCTTCTTTAGAAAGGCGAAGTGCCAAGTGAAGAACTGATAACAATGATCCTTTTGCTTCTTTTAAACTGATATCTAATTCGTCCACTCTTCTACGTCGATGCTTATCGCTTGTTAGTTGTTCAAATGATTTCCTCTTGATGCCCTTGCTGGATGAAGGCTCTATGTCATGGACGATGTATTCAATCTCATCCATATCTTCATCTGTGTCAGTAACATTTTCTGCTTCATATATAGATTCTTCCTCAAAAAGAATCCCTCCACTAGATTCGCTGAAGTATCGTGAGTCAACTTCAAATTCCTCTTCATAGAAATCTGCATGATCTCTTAATGCATTATTCCAATTTGACTGATTACAAAACATTTTTGACTTTGACTTCAGCTTGTTTAATTTATTAATTAAACTTGGTTTCTGTGATTCCGCTAATTCTCTCCCATGAATTTCTTCTATTACTGCCAAACAGTACGTGTGCTGTGTTGCAAGATTTAACGTTTTGTCGCGAAGAATTTCACAGAGTGTTTTCTTCGTAAGTGTTGAATTTTGGTTCATTTTTGAAAGTGACTTGTTCAATGAAGTTCAAAACTGATATGATGTGTAGAGAGAATTTCACGAGTATATATATAAAATAGTTTCAAAACTGAGATTTTCACACCTGATAGTGACTACCAAGGGTACTTTACAAAGTTGTTAACTAGGGAAGTAAAAAGTTTCTAAATTTAATTTTTTGGCTTTATAATCTCATAAATGTCATAAATAAACATAAAAAAGTTCTAAAAAAATACTCGAGATTGCTTAAAAGTGGTATTTTTGAAAATGCAATTTTTGGGAATTTTTCAAAAACTGCGTATGTCACAATCAACAGCCCTATAAATAACCAGGACTAAGTTAACTAGCAAGTATTATATATCGTTGGATAGGTATTACATTAGGCTACAATAATCCGAAAACAGAATTAAAAAATATTTTTTCAAAAAAAAGTTATAGTGGTTTAAGTAGGGTGACAAATGGCCAAATCGATGGAGAGCACATACCCCCTATATCTCGAAAGATTTTGAAGTTTTTGAAAAATTTTCTTCACAAAATCATTTAAATTGTTATTTTTCATAAGAAAACACAAAAAAACTATTTTTAAAACTATGTTTTCGTATTTTTAAAAGAATTATTAGTTTTTGGCCAAATACTCAACGACCTACTAAAATCAACATAACTCAATTACGTTAGCTTACTTTTTCAAAGTTTATACAGTTTTGAAAACTAGATATATGGGGCTACAAAACTGCGTTTTTACTTGCCTGGAAACTCTTCATTTATGATAGTTGCGGCTTGTTTGAAGATAATTTTCCTGAAATTTTCACATATGTTCTACCATAATGGCACGAAAACATTCAGAACCTAAACTTTGTTATATGTCAAAATAAAGCTCTTATATACTACTAATAGGAACTGAAAACCGTTTTGCAATATCTTAAACCAGTTAAGATATTTCCCGGTTCAAACATGGTATGAAAAAACCAGAATTTTCACTAGTTTTCAACTTCAAACAGCTCTAGAATCGCGAAATCAGCACCAAATGACCTGAAATTTGGCATTTCTATCTACTTTTATGTCCTCTACAAGAAAAAATCACCCAAAAAGTGTAAATCGGAAAAGTCCATTTTTCAAAGTGAAAGTCCCTTTTTTTTTCATTTTGCCCCATAGTGTGTTGTTAATTTTCATTTTCTAGTTTCTTATGCATTAAAAAAATGAATGAAATATTATTTTTCAATATTATGTATAAGATGACTATAAATTTTTATGCATTTTATGGCAAACTCAACCAATAATAAGATGAACGATGATAGTAAAGTGGAATGGAAAGACATGAAAATTTGCATTCAATAATTTCATCGTTTTCCTTATTCGTTACTTTTCTTCTCTTCACATGTTCCATACCGTCTAACGAGTAAACATGTTTCGTTGCGAAATCTTATTTAGATACTAAGTATGAATTTGAAATGTGAAAACTCAAGTATGAGATTGTGGTATAATAATGTCACTTTTCATATCGATGCAAAAAACAAGAAAAATTATTTTGACAAAATTCCAACCGACATATCATACAGCTCCTTATTCTGAATTTTACTTATTCTCCTTCTCGTTAAGAAACAGAAGATTTTTTTTTCACTGTTTATTCAAACATCGATTGATGTATCTATCAATTTTACTCCACATATTTTTTGTTCATGAGGCATACTTACAACTTGAGGACTTGACTCAATATATTGCCAAATTATTTTCGTGATTAGTTTATATTTATGCTTGGGGTCGTTCACTTATTACGTTCGCATTTTAGGGGGAGGGGGGGGGGGTTTGAAAATTGACAAAATGTAACATAGGGGGGGGGGGGGGTGTGAGTTGTAACATATTGTAACAAGGGGGGAGGGGGTGAAAAAAGTCGTTTTTTTGCGTAACGTAATAAGTGAACGGCCCCCTTTCTAAAATTAAAAACTATCTTTTTTAAAAATAAACGAGAACGTTTTCAGTTTAACAGAAAAAAATAAATTGCTAATTAAAATAACAAATATGCGGATCAAAAACAAATTTTCTAGCTTAAACAAATCTATTCTTTGAAAAATGCGACAAATGGAAGCAAATTATACCATACCATGTAATTTGAAACCAAAACAGATGTTGCATACACGCTTTTATTTATGGTTAACAATTGAAGGTAAATTGGCATTGTATGGAATCTGATAATAATAATTTTTCTTTAATATGAAGCTCTCAAAATGTTCTCGATGAAGATGCCTAGATGTTAATTGATGTTCTTACAAATAGTGTGCTTAATTACATTCCTGAATTCATATATTACCAAAATGTTAAAAAGATCATTTCCAATTTTTTCTCTAATTCTACATAGAGAATACTCTTCATGGCCTGTCATTCTCATACTATATTTTATTGGTAAAAACCAGATGGGATGAGATTTAAAAAAAAAAAACGAACAGAGGAAAAAAATCTGAAAAGTGAAATAAAATAAACAAGAATTGACACACATAGATGTATATCCTAAGATGGCTCAGAGCACGTTTCTCCAGTGACGTTTTGCTATTTTCATCATACAATTTTTCCCTTCTTTTCTGGGGCTAAAATATATGAAAAAAATTAAAGAATGTATGAATACTTATTTATTCTATTTTCTGTAAGAAGAACAGATTTTTGGATAGAAGGGACAGGCATGGTATTGCATTGGAATTTGCGTGGATGATAATATTAAAAGAAAATTAAATTCATGCGACATTATAACTTGATATTTTTTTTTGTTTCATCCGTAAAACCTCACGGGAGGGTCTTCAATTTTTTTTCGATCTTTTGATAAAAAAAAGCAGTAACTTAAATTTCTTCCGTATTTTTATGCTCGTTCTATTGCTGACAGCGATACCATGTAGACAGAAAAAATAATTTTTATTGAAATTCAATCTTTTTCCTTTTTTTTCTTACGTTTTTCTGCTCTTTTGTGCATATGAAATGAATAGATGCTCAATGTTATTTGATATTCATGATATATTGACTCTTTTAAAAGAGGAGTCTTAAAATGTTAGTCTAAAGCGCACTTTCTATTGATAATAATCATGCACTTCAGGACATTACTAGGACTTCTTTTGGTAGCAAACATTCTTGTTAAGTGCATAGTTTGAGTTTATCTAATTTATGTTTCTAGTCATAGAATTTTTGAAATTATCATGCATGTATAAAAAAATCATGACAAATAACCCAAATTCAAAAATTAAAATCTCAAGAACGTCTCATGTGTAATGATCTCTTTTTTGAAAAAATGAATTTCCCAGTTGAGTTTTGAAATTTTTAATCATTGAATTTTTTTTTTTCAATTAAATTTAAATATATAAATTTCCTAAGACAGGGAATAAAAATGAGATAAAGGATCCTTAATTTCAACGTTTTTACTTTCATCATTGAATTTTAAATTGACTAGTCTGTTAAATGTTTTTGGTGCTTTTTCAAAAAATTTCTATTAGATTCTATCAAGTTATCTTTCTTTTGAATACGCTCTTATATGCTGCATTACTTTAATTGCAAAGAAATAATTCACGAAAATCACTTTCATTCTAATTTTAATGTATAATTTAAAATCAAACCCGTTATGAGTAATAATAATAATATTGATGGGATTTTGGTTCTAAAGAGGCAAAAACTAAGGTTTTTTTCTTGGATTAGTGAAGTTTTAAACTTTCGATCACAAAACAGCACATACAGACTTTTAAAGTTATTCTTCCTAAACTCGTTTCTGTGAAGTTAATTAAAAAAATAAGAGGAAAACTTCAATTTTATAAAGTTAAAGACAGAGGGCGAAGTCGACTCGAAATTTGTATGAAGTCGAGTGAACTCAAGTCGACTTTTCCATACAAAATCCGAGTCGACTTCGCCCTCTGGTTAAAGATGATCAATTATGATCTAAATGAAATGCTAAATTTCCCAATAGATGAATATTTATTTTTAATAACTTTATTCCATTTTCTCTTATTTCTTATTTCTAGCATTCAATGGTTTACTTTTTTCATCATTATGAGCTTCCAGTTATCGTTCAACAAGCACAACTCCAGCAAATGTTTATTCGTTCAGCACGAAATAATAACAACAACAACGGAAATAATGCCAATAACAACAATAATGGCCAAATGGATGGACAGCAAGCAAGTAATAGCAATAATGATGGAAGTGGCATCAATCAGCAAATGAATCGCGAAAATCAACAGCAACAAGGAACCGCTTCAAATAATCGAATGCAAGCAGACCAAGCTGAACAACAACAACAGCAACAACCCAACATTGTAAACAACAATAACATGTTTGTTATTCGCGGTGCTTATCGGCTTCGCGTCAATCATATAGTTGAACGTTTACGTAACAATTTCTATAATAATGTATTTGGTGTGGGTTATATCGCTGATAATAATAATAATAATGCAGCCGCTGTTGCCGTAAATAATTTGCGAAATCAGCCAGGCTTCAATAACTTGACGCGAAGCTTGCGGCTACTGAATATGATATTTCCAAATCGTCCCATCTTAAATGTACGCATCATTAACGTACGATCGGCACCAATTGCAACTGTTGCTGATATTATACGAAATGTTGAAAACACCAACAGTAACCAAATGCCAACAGTAAATCCCCAAACATCATCAGAGACTCAAAATACGGAAAATTCACCTGAAGTTGTTAGAATAGAGAATGCAGATGAAAATTCGACACAAAATAATGAGCAAGTATCATCATCGTCGAATGAAAATGTTTCGGATGTTAGAAATGTGGAAGTGACTGATTCCATTAAAAATGTAAAACATAGTGATACTTTAAGTTTAAATAATAGTCCCGATATGAATAATGTGATGAGTTCAAGTGAACATGAAAATCCAACAACCAGTTTTTGTGATCAAAGTACTGGCACCAAAAGTGATGTGACGACATTAAATGAGCAATGTTGAGGATATTTTTATTTTGCCTTCTTAAAAAGAAAGTCTCTTTCTCAATCTTCTTTATATTATTCTTACACAAGAGCCGTCAACTTGAAAGTTGTTTCGGACATTTTATTTTAAATCCTCGACTGTATTTCTTTACAATTTTTTTAATTCACTGATTATAACAGGAATGTGTTATAAGAAAAATCTAAATGTTTCTGTTATTTTTTGTTTATTAAAAATCTGCTATGTAGATTTAGTAAGAAGGTTATCTTTCAAATTTTCTAGAACATCCTATTTTTATCAAAATTATTTTTTTATTTGAACAGAATAAATGCTTGGGAACAGAATTAACAATTATTTATGAAGTATACAAAAACGTATTTTTGTAAACAAATGTGTTGCATTTCAATAATTTAATATCCAGCAGGCGTGTAGCCAGGAGGATATTGTCCCCCTCTTAAGCGTTTTAGGCCGTGCTCTCGCTGCGGTTCAAAACGTTTTGGAGGGACAAGACCTTCCTGGCTACGCGCCTGATATCCAGCAAATGTGATTCTCAGAATCGTATGTCTTACAACATTTGACTAAGATTGAGTTGCTAAAATCAGTGTACGACTTGAAAACTTGAGAAAATAAAAGGGCATATTGGAATACTTAAATCATGTCCTAATAACTCAATGATTGAGAATCACAAAATCAAATCAGTTTGAAAAGTAGATTTGTGTTTTTCTTTAAAGTTTTCGCACCAAGCGTTTAATTTCTGTCAAAATTAACTGTATATTGTATAAATTATTCATGACTTAGGCTAATGTAAATAATTTCTTAATTTTTCTCCAAAAGCTTTTAGAATGAGCTGGAAAAAATTATTTTTTGTTATTTCTGTAATTTTTATTATTGACTCATGTGCATATATAAATATATAGAAAAGTTATAAGAATTGAATGAATGAACAGTGTTGTGTTAACGCTGGGCTCGCTGGGCTAGACAAAACTAGCAAATTTACCCATTTTATGAATGTTTTGGCTGGGCCCAGTCATCTAGTGAGCAGCATTGATGCAAAAGAAACGATATTAGGAAGTTTAAGTAATGTAAAATTGATTTGTAATGAAAATAAAGTAAAGAGAGACAATTTTATTACGTTCTTATGGCGAAAAAATTTAAACAAAAACTTTAATTCATTTGTTCCCATTTTCAGATCTTGTCAAGGTTCCAAAAATTTTAATCATCACGTCTTATATAGAAAATAATGATTAATTATATTTCTTTTTTGTTTCACACAAATTTGGAAATAGAAATGAAAAGAAAAAGTTTGGTATTTCGATAATACTCATTAAAAAAAGTTCAAAAATCAAAGGCAAAGCTTAATTCTTGTTGCTTCATTTCAAACACAAACTTTTAATGAATTTTTGACTCTATGTGATATTTGTAATATTTTCAAAGTCTTTGGTGGTAGGTATCATAAAACTTGTACATATTTAAATTAAGAAATTTTTTTTTCTGCTCATACTAATTAGTATTACTTCCTGAATTGTTTTAATTATGTTCTAGGATGAAGAATAAAATCGAATAATCAAAATATTCGTTTGAACTTTATTTTATTTTCTTCAAAATATTTAATGAATGGAATCAATCATGTGAACAGTATGGACATTAAAACTTGCCATTAAATGGCAATGAAATTAGATTTTTGTTCTTGTTTTGTGTAGTTACGAAAATTCAATGCACGGAAATGCAAATCTATAAAACCATCAATGGTTTAGTTATGTCCAGACTGTTGTTCGTAAGTTGATGATGAAACATTCGCCAGCATTTTAACAAACAATCAGACTGCATCATTATTCAACTACATTCGAGACATATTGTTGCATACTGTAGTAACATAAATCTTTCCATAATTAAAATAATTTTTAATGTGTTATTAATTTTAGTTTACAGAAGAACAAATTACAAAGTAAAAAGCCAATTATTTAAATTTGCATCTTTCTAAGATTTCAGTTTTGTCCATATTTTTATGAATCTCTCATGATCATCATTGCATCGGAAAATAAAAATCCTTTGTTATTCTATATCTATTTTGACATTATGCTCACTAGACTTCATTTGAATTTTTTATATTTTTATTCTTCCTCCTTTAAAATTGAAATTTTATTCATCGATGAGATAATATGCATCATTTTGTGTCATTCAATATTCTCTACTATCGTTGCTTCCAGTTGCTTTCTGCAGATATATTGAAAGATTTCTATTATAAAGTAAAAATATAAATTTTGATGATGTTGCTAATATGATGCTTGCATAATGAAATTTTTATAGTAGTGCCTTCTTAGGGGTCGTTCACTTATCGTTCAGGTTTGTTTAACTTAGTATTAATACCATATCAAGGTACAAAATGGATTATTTTGGTAAAAATACTAATGGCTTTAAAAATGCGTTCTTAACATAACGAGAAACTTATATTTTATTTTCATATGAAAAATTATAATTTTTGTATTCACACCGTTTTCACGTGTGAATCTATTGGTTTTGTTCAGATTGAAAAATGAGTTTTTAAAATTTTGTGAGGATATAGAGCAAGATAGCTTGAAATGTTCAAAAATGAAAAGTTTGTGCTTTAAATTTTACATCTTTTGCAAAAAACAGATTTCAAATTGGTTGCGGCATTGCTGAGAAAATCGCAAAATATGCTTTTTGTAAGCAAGCAAACAAGCAAACAAGCAAGTTAATCAGCGAGAAATCTCAATAACGAGACATCGTAGAGACTTCTAGTTTTTTACATTTGATCCGTGCTGCTCTATAGAAGAGCTGTATTGTTTTTGGGCAAGGTAGGAACAGCCGTTGCTTCAGAAAAAGCAAAAAACTTTCCTTTCTTACGAATTTTTCAAATTAAAAGTTCACTGTGATTTTTTTTTAAATTAAACTTTGGATGAAAAAAACTTTTTTGAGCAAAGAACCAAGAAGGAAATACATTTTCAATTATGAACTTGGGACAGGTCTAGTCAAAATCTAGTTTTTCAATTTTTTCTTCGAAGGTTTATCCAATTACAGTGAAACTTTGTGTGAGTATACTAATATTTATACAAAACAGTTTTAAATATCTAAAGCAAGAAATGTATTCTATATGTCGTCAGACCCAAATTGTATAAATTTGGTTGTACATTCAAAAACAACTTGACTTAAAATTTTGTCCAAAAAAATGATTTTTATTAATTCAGAAATGTGTGACCTGAGGATTAGAATGCTCATACAAAGATTTACTGTATTTGGATTTACCCTCGAAGAAAAAAGTGACAAAATTGATTTTGACTAGGGTCGCCCTAGTCCAAAATTGAAAATGGATTTCCTATTTGGTTCTTTGCTCAAAAAAAAATTTAGGATGTTTTATTTGTATTTGTTTTAAGCACTAGAATATTTATGCAAAGTTTCAATCCGTTTGGATAAACCCTCGAAGAAAAAAGTGACAAAATTGATTTTGAATAGGGTCGCCCTAGTCCAAAATTGAAAATGTATTTCCTACTTGGTTCTTTGCTCAAAAAAAAATTCAAGATGTTTTATTTGTATTTGTTTTAAGCACTTGAATATTTATGCAAAGTTTCAATCCATTTGGATAAACCCTCGAAGAAAAAAGTGACAAAATTGATTTTGACTAGGGTCGCCCCTAGTCCAAAATTGAAAATGTATTTCCTGCTTGGTTCTTTGCTCAAAAAAATTTTAGGATGTTTTATTTGTATTTGATTTAAGAATTTGAATATTTATGCAAAGTTTCAATCCGTTTGGATAAACCCTCGAAGAAAAAAGTGACAAAATTGATTTTGACTAGGGTCGCCCTAGTCCAAAATTGAAAATGTATTTCCTACTTGGTTCTTTGCTCAAAAAAAAATTTAGGATGTTTTATTTGTATTTGTTTTAAGCACTTGAATATTTATGCAAAGTTTCAATCCATTTGGATAAACCCTCGAAGAAAAAAGTGACAAAATTGATTTTGACTAGGGTCGCCCCTAGTCCAAAGTTCAAAATGTATTTCCTACTTGGTTCTTTGCTCAAAAAAATTTTAGGATGTTTTATTTGTATTTGTTTTAAGCACTAGAATATTTATGCAAAGTTTCAATCCATTTGGATAAACCCTCGAAGAAAAAAGTGACAAAATTGATTTTGACTAGGGTCGCCCCTAGTCCAAAATTGAAAATGTATTTCCTACTTGGTTCTTTGCTCAAAAAAATTTTAAGATGTTTTATTTGTATTTGTTTTAAGCACTAGAATATTTATGCAAAGTTTCAATCCATTTCGATAAACCCTCGAAGAAAAAAGTGACAAAATTGATTTTGACTAGGGTCGTTCCTAGTCCAAAATTGAAAATGTATTTCCTACTTGGTTCTTTGCTCAAAAATTTTAGGATGTTTTATTTGTATTTGTTTTAAGCATTAGAATATTTATGCAAAGTTTCAATCCATTTGGATAAACCCTCGAAGAAAAAAGTGACAAAATTGATTTTGACTAGGGTCGCCCCTAGTCCAAAATTGAAAATGTATTTCCTGCTTGGTTCTTTGCTCAAAAAAATTTTAAGATGTTTTATTTGTATTTGTTTTAAGCACTAGAATATTTATGCAAAGATTCAATCCATTTCGATAAACCCTCGAAGAAAAAAGTGACAAAATTGATTTTGACTAGGGTCGTTCCTAGTCCAAAATTGAAAATGTATTTCCTACTTGGTTCTTTGCTCAAAAAATTTTAGGATGTTTTATTTGTATTTGTTTTAAGCACTAGAATATTTATGCAAAGTTTCAATCCATTTGGATAAACCCTCGAAGAAAAAAGTGACAAAATTGATTTTGACTAGGGTCTCCGCTAGTCCAAAATTGAAAATTGATTTTCAATGGTGTACTTTGGTCAAAAAATTTTTTGGATGTTTTATTTGAATTGACATAATTCTGACATAAATCACATACCAATATTACTTTTTGTAATGCATAGCTTAAAAAAAAAATCGAAATCTAAAATTTCAACTACCCCATCTGAATTTTGTTCATACTCTTCACTGTGGAAACCAAAAAACAAATT